CCAGTTTGAAATGACGTTGGTTACTTTTGCAGATTAGTGAATACTTCTCAAAATGGCGACCGCTTGATCCTGATCACCTCATTTATGGCGTAGACTTAATGAAGGAGTGGCGTGATATTTTGGTGGATGCTGAAAATGTCTCAATGTTTACAGGTGGAATCTTAGCCATGTGCTAGACGTTTTCTATTCTGTTAGCCATAAAGTTAGAAAAGAAACGCCTATCCAGATCGCCTTAGTGCATACGATAGACTTTTGTGGGAAGGATGGTTACCCTCACTTCGACGCGCTTCTTTGAGTTGGGACCCTCGCGATCACATGGAGCCGATGTTGCGGATCATTGAGATATGGCTACCCGTCCTTCCTGAGTGGATGAAGGAGAATATCTTGGAACAGGTTGAATTGCTATCTGCAGTTACTTGCAAACAATACATGTTTTCGTTCAGGTAATAATTCCTCGAATAGATGATCGTGTATCATCATGGGATCCGCTTACTGATAGCGTGCCCATACATTCATGGCTTGTACCTTGGCTAGCAGTTCTTGGTGATCGTTTGCAACCCGTTTTAGCGCCTATACGGCAGAAGTTAGCTAAGGCGCTGAGGCTTTGGAATCCCACTGATCACAGGTAACGTTTTTTTTTCTTCTCGGAAAGAATAGTTATAATATAGCACCATATAATAGATCATAACTTTCTTTCGTGCAGACTTTTCTTTTCAACTATTGGAGATACTTTTAGTGCAATGGCTATCTTGAAGCCGTGGTGCGGTGTTTGGACACCGGCAACAATGTCAGCATTTTTAGCGCAGAATGTAGTGCCAAAAGTAAGTTACTCATTGGTCTCACCTAAAATTGTTATTATAGCATCGTATAAGATATGAGATAACGTTTCTGGCAAGTGAAACTGTGAAGCGTCTTTCCGATTCTATTGTATCTTCTAAAAAATTAGCAAGTATGGTTATATGCTTTTCTTTCTTCGCTTGTTATCAACTAGAATGCTCTCTGGTTAAGATCCATCAATATGAAAGATGCTGTGTTGATATCGATCTCAGTACTTATAATTGGAATTCCGTGTTCATTGTTGTTATTCGACTTAATATGTTC